TTTTTTTTTTTTTTTTTTTTCCATTGCTGTTGTCGCACACCACGCTCCTGATATACATATACGAACCGCGACGGCGCGGTGCGACGTATCGGCTTTTCTTCCGGGCATCGGCGTTCTTTGTACCGCCGCCGCGGCGACAAACCCGCGCTCGTGTGCACCATGGCCATGTAAATGCACATGCAATTATGCACGTAGTTCCAGATAGAGGCAGGTAAAGGCGCCACTTCGCGCAGGATGGCAACGCGGTCACGTATAATCGAAAGGTCTGGGAATTATGATAATGCCTACACCGCGATTTTTTCTAACGACACTCGCTGTTCAGGAAATTGCAACGTGTTCAAGGCGGAATTTAATACGCTCCTCCTTCTCCTTGCATCAAAAGCGTTTTTTTTTTCAAAAATAGATCAAAGAATTTAAATGTAAGAAAAACAAAATAGAGCAAAGTAATAGATAGAAACCGTCTCGATTAATTTGTAAAAAGAGAAATTTTTAATAATAATATTAATAATAATTACATAATAATTACATATTTTATAATTATTTTAAAAAATGATTAAAAGTAATATTATATAAAAAATTATATGATTAATTCTATTCTATTATTGTATTTATTTGATGATCTCGACGATTTTTAACATAAAATAATGGGAGAAATAAAATATTCTTTTAAAAAACGGATGACAATATTGTTACGCAGTTATCATAAATCAAATGAACTCCTCTAAAAGTAATTAGCTACAGTCTACTTGAATTTTTTTCGAGTTAATCAATAGCAGGTGCGAAAGAACTTTTTATCGGAGAACTGTAACCCTCTATTATACGATCGATTTAATCTTACTAAACCGGAATCGAATTGAGTTTAATCCGGAAAAGAAACCGAAAGAACTGCAATCTCAATTGGATCAAGAGGAGATAAATTCTCCGCTTGTAGGAGATTTCCAGCGGCAACTCCAAATACGGAGATAAATCATCATCACCGAGCTACAAAGGGGCTTTGTACGAATTTCGCAATGGCACATCGCACCAGATAACGGAAGAATGCGAGACAACAAAAGCTTCTAACAACATTTGAAAATGTTTTCAGCGCGTCGCCATTTTTGAGACGCTGCTCCCCGGTGCTGCTTTTCGTTCCCGGCGCAACGATGACCGAAGGAAACAAATGGCAGAAAGGTTGGTCCGACCCGCTATCGATTTGCACAGTCAGTCGTACCCAACCGTGCCAGTGGCCAAGGAGGTTTAAGCACCGTTCACACGGAAATCATAGCTCTCGGTTATGCTTCTCTCGTCCGTTTTATTCGCATTCTGCTCGTATTATATCCAATTACATCACCGCGACCATTACGAGCCGCTCCCGTTCCGCGCTGGTTACAACGAGGTCAAGCCATATGCAGGAACGAAAACATGTTATTAACTTTATTTTGCGTAGTAGATATTCGCGGATTATCTTGATAATCAATGTCGAATTTGTAGACAAAATTTATAGTGATAGATGAAAAAAACTTGTAATTAGTAAGAAGGATATTTTGAGTTCCTAGCGTTTTAAGATTCATTGAGTTGAAGTTCTCTTTTTCTCTCTCTCATATCTAATATGTTCACAGATTTATACAACAGGAAATTGACATATCTATAAATATATAAAATTAGAAATTAATATGTTCAAAATTAAAACTATAAGGTCAAATTGATAAAGTAACTCATGAATTCAAGAATATCCGGATAAAAATTTTACAATAATCAAAAGATCTGTAATCATAAGATTGATAATGACAAGAATTAATGACAAAACTCAGATTTCAAAATTCATCCTATTTTACAATCCATAAATTCTAAGTATAATTAAATTATCGAAAATATATTTGCGTATATCCCAAAATTGTACAATTTTCATTATTCCGAACTGCATTATTTTGAGCTGCGGAGCAGGTCAAAGCAGAATTGAAATTCGTATATTTAGTAGTAACTAGATTTAGCGTAGTTTTTTTAAAAAATAAAATAAAATAAATAAATAAATTTAAAAAAAATAAAATAAAATAAATAAAAATAAATGTTTTCTTGAACGAAATGAGACTTTTTAATGACCAATACAATCGCCGTTTTATTTTAGAAAGTCGCATCTATCGCGAACGCGAGATGCAGGTAAAGGCTGCGGAATTAAAAATATGGATACCAGAATAAAAAATGTTAAAATACTTTATGGATTAAGGACTTTACAGCGTCAGTATGCTTTCGCGTGTACTGTTCCAGCGTCGCCGCATAAATTAATGTTATCTCAGGGGATTATACTGGGTTGTGAGTAGCGCGCGATGGCATTGCCGCATGATGAAATTTGATGTATTTCTCTCTGTCGGCTGATTAGATATTTTTAAAGCTTCGTGACTCACGTAATCAACGAGTGCGCTTTGAATAAATAAAAAAAGCTTTTAGTATAAGCACTCGTCGTTTTTAGTAATCATTTTAAAACTGCAATTTTAATCGCAAGTTCGAAGCTTATGTAATGTTGTGTAATAAAACTGAAAATATTTTTAATTCTCTTATATATAAAAAGTAATTAAATAGTAAGTAAAGTAAATAATTTATCTATAAGATTTAGCTGCTTTTTAAAAATTAATATTTTAAATGGAAGAAATTCAATAATTTTTAATTTTTTAACAATTAACTCTGTAGTATAAAATTAATTATTTCATTTGTCCATAAAAAAGTAAGTTTTATGTAAATATAAATAACATCCAATATATCATATATTTTCATTGTTGTCATGAAACATGAAAATGTGTCAATGCAGAATTGATAAGAAAGTGTATAACAAAAAAATGTATGAAATCACATAAACTCCCGGTAGTCCGAAAATTCGATCGAAACTTGCGGTTTAGTTGACCAACTTTTTCCATTCGTTCTTTCCCTTGAGAATGGTCACATTAAAGAAAGAGATAGAGAGAGAGAGAGAGAGAGAGAGAGAGAGAGAGAGAGAAGAAGGAAG